CTCATCTTGAACCTCCATTGCACCTGTGGTAACTGGATATCAGGCCTTAGTCATTCATAATATAGACCTCCGGATCCTAATGGGACTAGCATTCCTCTGGCCCCTTTATTAATCTCAGATAGTATGGTGGATGTGCCAGTTGGTAGTATTCTGATTGTGAGGCAAATGATTCTGAAGATGATGATGTGCTTTTTGCTCGTGAGACAAGCGATCCGTATTTGCAGGATTAGAGCCATGTACCGGTTCTGGGGGACTGTGGTGTTTCATTTGGTTCTTCTCTTTGTTATGTTGATCTTTGCTTGGAATTGTCAAGGAGGTCCTCTTTTTCTGTTCTATTTATATGGAGAAATTTTCCTTTTTGGGTGTTCTATTTATATAGAAAAATTTTCCTAATATGGTAATTTTGGGACTAATGCCAAAGCAAAAAGTCCAATATGCCCTTTCTTTGGTTTATAGATTAAATATTGACTTTGGGAGTATTTCAAGAAAGTGACAAACATTATTGTGGTTAAGAAGATGTGAGATTCAAGCATATTATGTGCACAGATTAAATTTCACCAAAAGCTTATGGTTAACATTTAAGTGTGCGCATATAGTGAAATTTACTTACAACTCTAATAAATCCTAAACGAAGGAAAATTTCCCTCCAAATGACAGTGCTTAAATAAAAATAGTTGTGCCCATTTATATTTACTATGATGAACTCCTTAAATGGCTAAAGAGAGAGACACATAACCTAAACCCTAATTTCATTGCTTAAATAAAAATACATCTCAAGTAATACATATGGGCTACTGGTTCATACATGCACTTAGACAAATAATTAAAACATTTATAAGTTCATAGATTAGTATACCCATTTTAATACATGTTTAAAGGTATACAAATCCTACAACTACGGAATTCAATAATAGTTAGAAGTAGTAAAGTTCTTATAGATAATAATACATAAATTAATTAATTACAGAAACTAGAAATTTACTTTTATAGTCCTGCAGAGAAGGATGTAGAGCTTTAGCCGACTCAATGGGAATCCTACTTCCTGAAAAGTTAAACAAGAGCGGAGTGAGTTCTGCAACTCATTGAATAATAATCAATAATGCATAACACATGCATTCACGCGAAATGCTTCTAAAACACTAAAATGAACACATCACCGGTTAAGCATATGGCACAACATCAGCACTCATAAATAATTACACCTTCAAATGATTAAACAAGTGAAAATTGATCAGTAACGTCAAATTATCCCCGATGAGCTATCCTCCCACATGATCTGCCCTCTTAAACGTGTGCACCAAGGAGCCAATCCCCATACATGGCCGACCAGTTTAATCCTCACTTGATTAGCCCTTTTTTTTCCATCATCTCTTTTTTTTCCATTACCAAGGGAAGGTCACCCTGTGGTTTATCCATATCAATCATACATAGATGCACACAGGGACGCCGATCTCCCCATACATGGCCGACTATATTGTAGACTGCCCTCACAAACCTGTGGTGATCCATTTCATCTCAATTCCACACAAACAAGGCACAAGATCACAACACAAGTAATCAAACAATTCATTCAACAATGCACCAAATCAATCCTTAATGCGCAAACGTAAAAATATAATTATATATTAATAATAACATAATGATATAAATATAAAATAAATTCTAAGTTATGTTTCATATAATAATAAATTCTAAGTTATGTTTCATATATATATTATATATATATATATATATATATATATAATATATATTATATATATAGATAAATATATATAATGTGTATGGTATATAAAATAAATAATATGTGTATGCAAGTGATGATTATGCATTATTTATTATTACTCACAGTGATAGAGAAAAGAAGAAGCTCTAACTTGGATTTTGACTTGGAGGAGTAGTAGATAAGCTCTGATGATTTAAAGAATTTAAAAATGCAAAGGAAAGAATTGAATCAGACAAAGGATTAATTTAAATGGAGAATTAAATGATTAATTTAATAAATTATCTACAAATCTAACTACTATACCTAGACTAGATTCTACTGAAATTTCGACAATACCTCTTCTAAAATTGGACTATCCACATGTTCAAATATCAATAATTTCGTTAAATATTAATTCAATCTACACAACTCATTCATTGGACAATCAATCAAATCAAGTTCTCATCCACTTTTAACCTCAACATCAATATTCAATTATCACAACTGTTTTACATAAACTTAACTTATGTTCTAAATAATACAATCCATTGATTCTTATAGATATATATGTATATGTATAAGCATATATGTATGGTTAGCTTCCATCATTAATTTACAAAGTAAATAACTTTATCAAGCATTCTTTAATCATTTACTAAAATTCTATATAAGTCATTAAGAACCAATGTTTCCATTAAATTACAATTTAATAAACTCAACTTCTAAGTAATCCAATTCACAACTTAAATATATACCAACACTAACAAGTATAAAGAACATTATATATAACATATATATATATATATATATAATATATATATATATATATATATACACATTTCCATATTAACTTATTAAAAGAACACAAGGTGTCCACAATAGCGCTATCCACCGAAGAGTTTTTCTTAACCTAACCTTATACACTATGAACATAATAATTTTTTTCTTATCGGATTCAAAATTTTAGCAGCATATTCTTCATATCAAAATGGTTTTTAAGGCCAAGAAATCATAATATCTGCGGCCACATCAAATTTTTCCAATTTCCTCCATTTAAACTAGCAATAAATTAATTAGTTGATTTATATGTATGTTGAATTGCAGTTCACAGTCAAATTCTAAAGAGTAAAATTTCCCAACCATCAACACTGACAGCAGCTAACTAAGGATTTAATTCCTAACGTTCTAATTTATACTTCAAATCATTAATCTTAAATCAAGAACTCAAGAAATAAACTCAGAAGGATTGACATATGGCTCACCTAGTCAAGAAATATGACGGAAAAATTGGATATACTCGTTAAAATGACCGAAAATGAACTTCAAAGCCAAAACCCACTTCCGCTGGCGATAACTTGACTGGAGGAGAAGGCAATGGAGGGTGGGCCTTAGTGTCGACCTAGTCAAGAAATATGACGGAAAAATTGGATATACTCGTTAAAATGACCGAAAATGAACTTCAAAGCCAAAACCCACTTCCGCTGGCGATAACTTGACTGGAGGAGAAGGCAATGGAGGGTGGGCCTTAGTGTCGGTCCGGCCACGATTTCAGGTTGTGATAGAAACTAATATAACAAATCTAATTAAAATTATTATATAATTTTAGTCACCAATAAAATTAAAAGTTTTTAATTAGGATGGGACTAACTTATCACTAATGATTTTGTTAATCAAGTATTAAAATACAAATAAAATGTAAAATTCCTGTACATGTAAAAAAATATGATTTATTATATTATAATTTGAATACAAATTTCTAATTAGAATGAAATTAAATTTATAAGATTAATATTATAAAAATAATAAATTGATATCATAATTAGAATAGGATTAATAATGATATTTTTATCAATTCATAAACTTAAACTTAGCAAGACATTTTAAAAACTCAATTTTGCCTTCATTCATACTTTTATATATATTATAGATGTTTATAATTGTGATAAAATTAGAATGGAAATGATTATTAACATAGTTAGCATGACTTAGGTTTGGTTAAAGATTGATTTAAACTTCTTCCGTCAAACTACGTTGTTTTGATGGTAACATGGTTATTATTACTATTATTATATGGACTCCTACTAGCTAATAATTTAAAGACTATATTAGATTTCAATGATGTGAAATATCTTGACATTGATTAAATATATATACTAATTAAGGTATTGAATCTCAATTTCATTAATTATGTTGATTTTCAAATTGTCATCATTTCAATGGATATATAAAGTCTTCTAACAATTAAGATATGTATGTAAAGTCAATTAATGTATTTATGTCTTAGTCTAATCTAATTATAATACTACAAGTTAAACCATTAAAAAACCAAAGTAATTAAAATTTTTATGATTCAAACCAAATCAAACTCTAATCAAACCAAACCGATCTAGAATTAGTTTAAGATAGAGAGAAAATCTCTTTTTCTTCTTTTTCTTCTTCCTCTCCTTTGTTTACGTCAAATGAAAGAGGATACTTATCCAGTTACGGTAAACCTATATTCAGTCACCGTTTGGCCGATCAAGTTTCTATTTTTGCGTGCTAAAAAATTCTTGTTTTGTTATTTTTGAGTTTTCAAATTGAATTTCACGATTCCTGCCATAATCTTTGTTGAAATAAGTGCTAATTTATAGTTTTCTGTGAATCAAACTTGATTGTGTGTTAGAATTAAGGATTTAGTGGAATTATTTTAAAATTTGTGTTTGAGTTTTGCAAATTTGAGGCTTTTAATACAATGACAAAATTTTTAAAAATTATCAAAAAAAATTGATAACACAACTAAGATCCTCATAAAATTCTAATCATTTTGATGTTTGATGTATACTAGAGAAGTTTCTTTATTGGTTCAATTTTCTGGCCACCACCATATATGGTGCCAGCAGCAACGGTCCTTAAAAAACCTGGTCAGTTTGAAATTTTATTTATGACATCTATAACACCGCATCATCACATCACCAGCAATAAATCACACACCCCAAGAAAAACTGCTTAAATTTCTCCACATTACTTCGTTTCACCCCAACTGCACTGCAGCTGTGCCAAGCACAACTTGCGCTAAAACTATTTATCATTTGAATTAATCTCAAATTAACATGCAAACCCTTAATTGATTTCAAGATTACCAAGTTGAAATTTAAATTAGATTACATGTCAAATTAAGGTGAGACTGATCCATCTGAACATGCTTTTGATGCTCGCTTCAATCACATCCTAAAACCATTCATTTAATACCTACAAAATCAATGTTAGTAATCTCATAATAAACCTATCTAAAGGAGGGAGGAGAAAAAAGTTATAAACCTACAAAACCAATGTTAGTAATCTCATAATCAACATAAATACAATGCACATGAACAAAATGACAAGCTTCATTACTAATTCACAATCAAATATAAAATTACAAAACCAATACCTCAATTATAGCTCACTGTATCCGATGACGTTTGAGCTTAAACTATAAACAAAGTTCTTCAAATGAATGAAATAAACAACTTAAGGTGCAAGAATGAGACTGCATCCTCAGATATTAGTTACAATTAACTGATATTCACCTGTGACGGAATTTAGGACAAACAGCAATTACGCCTGGCTTTACTTCATCGAAGTGATATCTATCAAACATTGTTATTTTGTTAATGATTAGTGAAAAGAAATACTGCAATATCATTCTTCAATCCCAAAAGAAATATTAAAAATATGTGTCATTGCCTATTATCAGCTAATCTATCAAGGGGCGCACTTTAAAAAATAAATAAATGCATGTAAAACATATTTTTTAAAAATGCAGGACAAAATATTTCACCTGTTTTCAGTGAGGAAACTTCTCACAGCTGTTGGGAGTGTAGCCTGACCCCTGCTGTGGTTGCCTACACCTACAGAGAGAAAAAGCAGTAAATGAGTGCTACTTTCTCACATCCCCAACCTCTAAATTGGTGATACACTACAAATTAATTTCTGAAAATACAACACAAATCACATCATTAAATGAAACACAGTTCATCCTACCATTCTGATAAATTTTGCATGATAAAAAATTTACAATCCATGACAAGAAGGAACTAAAAGATAGTGGCAGTAATTTATTTCACATATTACCTAAAAAAAGAGAGCTCTTTGCTATTTCATGTTATGAATGCTTTTCTCAATTGTTTTGCATAATACAGATAGAATTCATTCACTACAGCTCCTGGCAATTATAATTGATGGTACAACCACCTCTTAGTTTGCTATGACCCAGAAAAAGCAAGAAAAATAGTCTCAGTACGAAACTCGCATGAAACCCATCCCAATGTCCTAGGAGTAGAGACTGCTACAGCATTAAAAAGGACTACTGCTGCAATAACAAGGATTATTAAAAATGAAACAATTGCTAGGAGGAGGCTAAACCTACCAAAAAACTTTAAACTTTGCATTTTATAACGATTGCACCCCAAGTCCAACTTGATCCCTCAGACACCTCAATTTCAACTTTTTGTCACAATTGCACCCCAATATAAAATTGGTCAAAATTAGTTAATAAAATATACTAAATGTGGGTCTCACGGCATATTTGAGTTCGTTTAACCCCCAGGGAATGAGTTGGCTAAATTATATAAAATAACTTGCATGAATCCCTGTGCATTGTAACTTGCAAGTTGCATCTAACCTGTGTGTTTAACAATAAGGCTTAACTCCAGAAATTATGAGGACAAATACTTCATGCATATACATTTATAATCGTGAATGAAGAAAAATACCTGTTATGACCTGTAATGATGCCGATCTTTGCCGAAATTCTGTCTGTTGTTTATCTAAGTTTTCCACACCCATGCCACTCAAGGGCTCAAGTGATGAATGTACAGTCTCAATTTTTGTATTGGCTCTACTGGGAGATACCAGCTGATTAAGCTGGATTTCAATTTTTTCTAGACGTTCTTGTAAGGCTTGAACAGCCTCTACTGTGTGAAGACCATGCAAGTCCAATTTCCATGGATTCTTTTCGCTATTTCTTATACTTAAAATTTCCTTGGCTGCTTTAGCATTGAGTCCTTCAGCATCCAACCACTCGTTACGAGCCTTCAATGACAACTGGTGGGCAGAAAAATGATCCCCTCTCATAAAGGCATTAGTGGCTGCCCTGGAATGCTTAGATGCCAACCTGGTGGATACATGATCTGAGAATTCTTTATACACTAATATTTCCTCATCAATTATCAAAGTAACATTTGTCAAGTTGGCAACCATTAGGAGCAATCTGAACCATGAACAATGCAGTGACCTTTCTTTTGTACCAAGAGTCACCATCTACTGTATATATTCAAAATTATATATATATGTATAACCATATAAGAGCAAATTTACGGGAAATAATAGCTTGACTGAATTTCATTATATTTTGCTTATGCTACAAAAGATAGCACATGTATTCAGCAAATCAATACTCATAATAAAGTTTGTCATAGTATCCGTTAGGGAAAAAAACACTTGAGGAGACAATAGGATAGCTTGAAAATTGAAATGATCCAGATCATGCAAACACATTGCTGAGAGAGGGGAAAAATGCAGGATACGGACCTCATCATCCTTAGTGCATTTCTTCGTTGGCTCAAGTAAACATCATGCTCTTCCCACTCAGGCTCCACAGGTAAGGATCTCAAGTGCTCTAGAATCAGTTGCAAGTTTGCAACTGCATCATCGGAGAGCCTCTGCTCAGAAGCAGCACAGGCGTCCTCCAATTCTTTGTGATTACCTCTGAAAGCATCCTCGAGAACAGAGCTCAGATCAGCTATGTCTGCAGCAAGATCTGAGGTCTTTTTTAAAAAAGCACTCTCATCTTCACCTTCGTTGCTTTGATGAAAACCATCGCAATTAGTTGTACCATTCTGCTCAGAGCTGTCAGTAGAAACCATCTCTTTTAATAAAGTTGTAGCCTTTTCAATATCATTATTAGCTGCGGCCATGACATCCTGAATCAAACTTTTGTCAACCCAACTAGAAAAGAATGCAAAATCAGGATTCTTAGACTCAACTAGACCAGAATCATTAACTCCTTTCAATTTATTGACATTAACATTATCTGTTAAGGAAGTAAAGTCAGCAGAAGAGAAAGATGTTGAAGAAAAAACGTTATTGGCGGGCAAGTTTTCACAGGGACGAAGAGCGTTGGTTGGCAGGGGAGGAAAAGGATCGTTGCTATCGAGCTGATGATGAAGAAGACCTTGTTTTTGACGCTGCTTGAGGTCAAAGGCAGCCCAACCCGGAGACTTGCCTCTCGACCGCGACTTATAGGAAGTGTTCATTTTGTTTTAGAGCATGCTTGAACAGAAACGCCTGGAATTGTGCAGGTGATTACAACTAGGTAAAAAGATGTAAACTTTCATTCAACAACTAGCCAAAAAGATTGTAGACATAACACAGACAACCATAGACAAGCTAAAGAAAATTCAATTAAGTGACCGCTAGATACTTAACCAGCAACAGAAATTAAAAATAAAGTTTAAAAAAATAAAAAAATACCTCGATTGAAGCTATTCAGGAAGATAAACGCGTAACCAAGGCGTCAATCGATCCAAGGGCCCAGATGGAATGGCAAATATATCAGAATAATCTAAATTGGATACTGCCGGAGACTTGTTCGATGGCAAAGCGATTCTGCATCTCAAATCCATAAATCCTGCAATTTCTTTCTTTTCTGAGAAGAGGGTACCAAAATGAGAAAGAGAGAGAGAGAAAGAGAGAGAGGAGAAGGGAATTAAATTAAATAAAGAAAAGCCTGCGGCTGAGAAGGGAAGGGGAGAAAAAAAAAGACAAAGGTGGCTGTCCCACTTGCTCTACCCTCCAGTCAACCAAAAAGGTCTAACAACTTTTTTTTTTTTTTTTTTTTTTAGGAAGGGAAGAAAAAAAAGACAAAGGTGGCGTCCCACTTTGCTCTACCCTACCAGTCAACCAAAAAGGTCTAACAACTTTTTTTTTTTTTTTTTTTTTTGTGGGGGCAGAAGTTCGTTTTTTTTTTTTTTTTTTTTTTTGTGGGGGCAGAAGTTCGGGTGGCCATTTTCCGGTTCTTGGAACCGGAACTGTCGGTTTGGAACCGTGTGAACCAGAATTGAAACTGTCCAGAAAAAGAACCAGTCCGAATCAGAACAGGAATTGAAAGGTTATGGTTCACTTCTGATTCTGGTCTGGTTTTCTTTTTTTTAACTGTAAACCAACAATTTAATAAGCTTTTTGAAAGTTCTATTAAACAATTAGAACCGGCGATTTCGAAATTTTTGAATTTCTCCATTTAAAAGCTACAACTAGAGGTTCCTCTCAATCAAACAAATCTTTCTTCAAAAAATTCTATTATAAATTTCAAATTAACTCTCCAACAAATATAAACGGCTATATTATAACTAATTTTAAGAATATTTGTGAAAGTTCAAATTTTTTTTTGTTTTATTATAAATACTTTGTTATTTCTATTCATTTTCACATCAATTATTTCTTTCTACCTTCAATAACTCTAAGCTCTTCAATTTATAATTATTTGCAAATCAATCTCAAATAGCCTCTTCAATCTCCAATTATTCTTTTTAATATTGTTTGAATTATTCTCAAATAATCCCTTCAATCTCTAATTATTCTCTCTAATTTTTTTTTACTTAATTTTTCCAATTTGCAATTTGCATTCTATAATGGCAAGTGAAAAGAAATTTAAGTTTTACAAAGGGCAAAAGAAAAATTGGAGAAACACAAAATTCAATCTCATCCATACATATGAACGGCATGTTTGGTTTCACTTTCGAACAATTTGATTTTGAGGAAAATTTAAATGATGTAGAAGACTCACAAATTTTCAGATAAACATCTTCTAACTCTTCCTTATTACAATATTCTAAAAGAAAAGAATAATTAGTTGAAATAATTTCTAGGAAACATTATCTTTTAGTTTTGGTAAAAAGTGGATTTTATTATCAAAATATTATAAAATCTTTGTGACAAACGAGTGCCTATAAATACTCCAAAACGAACCATTTTTCTTTATCTAAAAAAGCAATAAAAAAAAAAAAAAAGTTACAACTTTTATTTTTACCGGTGAACAACGTGTTTCAATTTGTAGGCATAACACATCTTTAGGTCGATGAAAATGAGTCATTGCACTTCATGTTTTTTGTGATAGATATACTGCAAATAGTATATATATGATGATTAATTCAATTTTAGATAAATATAAATTAACCAAAAAGATTTTTTTTTTTTTATTTCATTTGATAATATTCTATCAACAATGCATCAATTGTTGATCTCAAAAAATTTGTGAACTGAATCTTGGTAGAAAAAATTTTCATATTAGGTGTGCATGTTATATTCTAAATTTATGTGTACAAGATAATTCAAGAATTTTTCATTCGTTTATTTCTCTAATTGAAAAGGCATTTATTTTTTATGGAGACATCCCCAAATAATAAATTAAAGGGCTAAATTTTGTAAGGAAAATAATAAAATAGCAAAACGTCTTCTAAGGGATGTCCCAACTCATTGAAATTCAACATATGAATTACTCTTTTGGATATAGAGAATTATTGTGCACATTTTTTACTAATAATTTGGCACAAGTTAATTTATATCCACAAAATTAAAATTTTATATAAAAATTTTGGATATTTTAAAAGCTTTTAATGATACTACATATATTAGTAGGGTTTACTATCACACATCTCATTTATTTTTGCATGTATGCATTAATACCAATAGTGCATTTCAAGAACATGAAAATGATGAATGATTAAAAGATTTCATTTTTTCAATAAAAAAGAAATGGTTAAATTATTTTAAAAATATTCCACCCTTTTCTTGTGAAACACCGCGTAATTTTATTTTGAGTTTTTATTAAATCAAAAATTAGAAATTTTGACTGCGTGGGCTGCAAATACTGTGTAATCTTGTCTGCTTCCAAATTCGCGAGTTAGCCTAAGCCCAAAGTATAGTATCGTAAGTCCTAACCGAGAATTTTCTAAACTCCTTAAGAATTATATTGGGCGTTAAATATTAAGTCAATTAAAATTAATTAACCGGACCCATAAACCAGTTTGAAAGTCCTAAGAACCAAGTGAAAAATCCCTAAACCAAGCAAAAATCGAATAAAATTACTGAATCAGACCAAATCGGTTTGAATCTAATCAGAATGGTATATAAGCTCTAGATTTTCCCTTCCCTTCTTTTTCTTTCCTTCTCTTCTTCTTCTCCGGCGATACACCCCTCCTTCCCTCTCCTTCCCTCCCCGTTTCTGGCTACCAGAGCCGATCGAGCTCACCTTCTCGTTGTCGCATCACCCTGCAGTTGCTCCGACCACCCTTCCCCTCTCTCCTTCATTCCTAGCGAGCGTAGCAATTGCAGGAGGGGGTCGCGATTCCGCTCGACTATGAAGTTGCGCCTCCAGCTCGATTTTTCGGCGATTCCAAGCCACGAGTCAAGTGTGGCCGACCTCCTTTCTTCCCCTGCTTCTGTTTTATGGCGTCAGTCTTGAGTAATGTCGCTTGGATTGGAAGAACCCAAAGAAGGGCAGTTGGCCAAAGGTTTAGAGGCAATTTCCGACCAAATGGGGCACACTCAGCTTAAATTGGTTATATATTTGAGGTCCTTGCATGATTTCGAGCATTTTGGTGTGCGGGTTGCCCAATTCTAGGCTGTTTGGATTTCTTCGCCGGCGGCAGTTCTCTAGCGACACTCCGACAAGGTCCCAAGAGTCAAAAACATCTCCTCTTCGTGCGGATCGCGGAATCGTAGTTCGATTTTCGAATGGTATGCTCTAAGACCTAGTTCTCATTTTTGGTATAAGTTCCAAATTTTAAATTATTGGTAGATTAAGCTAAAATTGAATAAATAGTTAATTAAAGGACTTGAAATGTTGGATTAGTAGTGTGGTTTCTGATTATACAATTAGAACTGCTTAGCCACTTAATTAGTGCATGTTAAAACACAGGTAATAGACTAGAATAGTTAAATGAATATTATTCCTATTAAGGAACTTCGATGGATAGACTTATTTAATTTTGAAAATTAGAAATATAAGTCATTTTGAATATTTTAACCTTTAAGTTAGGTTAGTTGAATATTGAAGTAGATATAATTAAATAACAAGAACTTAAGCGTGACCGTAGAAAGACTTAGTCAATTGTTTAGATAACTGTTAATTTAGTTTAACTAGGATCGATTACTTGGTATATATGAAAAGATAGATAACTATACTTGTATACAACATCATAGTTTTATTAATTTAGTTTAACTAGGATCGATTACTTGGTATATATGAAAAGATAGATAACTATACTTGTATACAACATCACTGATGAATTTGAATTGGAGTAAAATTTTAGCAAATGAAAATTTGCAAACGGTGAACATTGAGTTATGAAGATGGCGGTTGGGGTATGATTGATGAATATGATTATGGCGGATGAGAATTTAGTTTGATTGATTGCCTAATGGATGAGCTTTGAGAATTGTGGTTTAGTCAAATTTTACGGGAGGTTCTATCGTAATTTCGATAGAATCTAGGTTAGTCATAATTAATAATTAAGTTAATAGGTTTATTTAGAGTAATTCTTTAACTTGATATATAATAAATAAAGTTTTTTATTTGTTTTATTATTGTTTATTTATTTATTTATTTTTCAAGGATCAATTATTATTATATATTGTTAATTACTACTTCCCTTTATTTAATTGTAACTGAATATGAATGTCTAATTGTGCATTTGCATCATGATATTTAATTGCTTGAATATGTTTTCATGTAATTACAATATTTGATTATTTGTGTTGTGGTATTGCCATGCCTTGTTTGGGTGGAATTGGGATGAAGTGGGTCATCATGGGTTTGTGAGGACGGTTTTGAAAATGATGAAAATATGAAATTTGATCGTCGGCTAGGAATGGGGAGATCGGTGCCCCCATGTGCACCTAATGATATGATATGGGTGATACCTGATGATATGGTGTGGATGATTTGGAAAAACATAGGGTAGCCTCCTGTTGGTATGGAAAAGGAAAGAGAGTATAAAAGAAATAAGAGAGCTGGTCAAGTGAGGATTAGACTGGTTGGCCATGTATGGGGGATCGGCTCCCTGGTGCACACGTCATGAGAGGATGGGCCATGTGAGCGTGCCAACACGTCCATGAGAGGATGGGCCATTGTGAGAGAACTGGCTCATCCAAGAGGCTTTCGGTGACGGCCCAGCACACCCAATTCCGACGTGACTTGTAATTCATGCGTCAAGTGAGGATTAGACTGGTTGGCCATGTATGGGGGATCGGCTCCCTGGTGCACACGTCATGAGAGGATGGGCCATGTGAGAGAACGGCTCATCAGAGGTTTCGGTGACGCCACACACCAATTTCCACGTGATGTAATTATGTGAAGGTGTTAATACTTGTAAGTGTTGTTGTTATGCCAATTGTGTGACTGTCTGCATGACCATATAACTAGTTGGATAATTAGATTGATATATTTTCACATTCGTGTGAATGCATGTGCGTGCAATAATTATTATTCCTTATAAACTCATATGTCGTTGTTTACCTTTTCTAGGAATTAGATACTTCCGTGTTCCGATTAAAGCTCTGTCTCTTTCCCTCAAAGCTAGACAACTTTTAAAGTTAGCAGTTATTTAAATTATGTAGCTATATATATTAAAACTTGCTTATGTTTATCTGTTAGTGAACTTCGCAGTTGTAGGAATAAAATCAATAAACTAGTGCGAATGTTTAAACAA